CTACGAACAAATGAATTAATGGCCCATTGGCAATTATTCCTTTAGGAAAAATATTCAACACAGCTTAATTAATTAATAAAATGAAAAAAATCACAATCATGTCGTGTATAGTTTTTTTTAAGCATAAAATAATTTTTATATTAATACTAGTTCAAAAGTGAAATTACGACCTCTATACTGTGGAGAGTATTGAAACGCTCGACTGACGAATACAAATCTATACCGTGGGGAGATTTAGAAAACAATATTCAAACGTGGCGTCATCCTATACACTTCTATAATTTTCCGTTTGCTGTGAGTCCTTGTATGTTCTAGGCTACATGGGGTTGGGACATGATGTCGAAAATCAGATAGAAACAAATGTATTTGTTTTTTTTTAAGTATTCATTTTTATTTTCACAAAAGAGAGGAAGGCAGAAGTCTAACTCGACAAATTTTTTTCAATTGCACGTTATTTATGCCTATGTTCTAAATATGTAATATCCCAACCCCATTGGGGTAATTTAGACAAATCCAGTTTAATCCACTTTAGACAGTTTGAATAAATTGATTTATCTGATTTTGTCTAATATTTCTTACTTAAACTTATGCAATTCCATCAAACTAATAAAAAGTTGATAAAATAGTTTACTAATATTATCCCTTTCTTTAAAACGCTGATTTGTCAAATAATCGGTAATACTTCCTTTATATTTCGCAAGCTATAAATTAAAAAAATTGGTGTTTTTTAATAACATTTTACATTACATACCGTTACCGTTCCTGACCTTACAAGCGTACCGGTCAAATTTTTGCGTGTATCATAGAAATTATTTTTTTCATAGTTAAATTTGCCATCACTAAAATTTCCAATTAAATGTATTTTCATGCCAGATTGTAATCCAGGTTTGTATACAGAAAATATTTCAATAACATTATTATTTTTGTTATTACTTATAGCCAACTCAATACTTGAGTCCAATCTTAATCCAACATTTTTAAGGATTTCTTCAATGTGACCCTTTGACTTTTTTATAATAAGCCAGTGGTGTATAAGTCTGAAGAATTTTCCTTTTGACGCTTTTTGCAAAACTTTACCGTAACCAGGACAATTTGCATCCAAAACAAAATGTACGTTATGTGTATAATTAAAAATTACGTTAAATAGGTTCGAATCGATTTTTAAAATCGAAACTTTCGCGGTTAAAACTATATCTTTAAGTTGTTGTTGTTTATCTGAAATATTAATAAAATTATTATATTTATTCTATTAGGTTGTACCTCACCAGTATTTTTACACTTAAAAATGTACGTTGATTTAGCTTTGTGGTAATTCAAATAACTATCAACAAATTTAACATCAAATGCTTGGGCTGTTGTAAAAATTAAAAGAAATATTGTAGGTATTATGTTGCGACCCATTTTCAATACTGAACGATAATATCATGTCAAAAATTGATTATTACATATGCATAAAGGGTTTAAACTAAAATTACATGTACTTACCTTTTGATTGTGTGAAAAAACACTTTGATGTGGAATTTAAAATAAAAATGAAAAACTGTGTTCATTATATTTCTTTATTATTTATTTAATCTATATTTATAATTGTTAACAGTTAACCAATAAAATAAAATAAAATTATAAAGGAGTATCAATTTTTGAAATATTAACAGCTATATTAATTAATAAGGAAAAATGCTATGATAAATAACAAATCTATCAATACCACATAAATTGATAATAATATAAACTATTTTAAGTAGCACATTAAATAACATTTTTTTATTACAAACATATATTGCAAATAATTCTGCAATTGCCATTATTAAAAAATCATCATGTCTGAACACATTAAATAAGTAGAAAATTATTTCTATAATTATTTTTCATGTGGGATAAGTCCAAAAAAAAATCGTGTGCAAATAGCTTTAATATGGCACTTGGCTTAATAAAAATATATTGAAACTAGTTGTTATTAAGCCCATGTTTAGATTAAGTAAAAATTGAGCCTCTTAGGACAGACTAGTGCTTGTATAGATTTCATTAGCCATCTAGTAGTGGTCGTTGAAAAATCGCGTCATGAAAAATAATCATAATAATTAAAATAAAATCGGCTACCAGTCTTTTAAGTTCATTTGCTTTGACACAAATGAGACTATCATCGATTTAATAAAATGGTGCAAAGATTTTAAAAACACCAACTTCCATCTCTATTCCTACAACCGTATACTAAGATGATGGCTTTGTACAAAATATTTTACTAATTTATGTTAATTAATTGCTTCTATTGGCTAATTTCAGTACCAGAGCTATCTATTTACATCCCTCGATATTCCGTACAAAATTTCCGTTTTTAATATGCCAGGAAGTAGATTTTCAATTAATTTAATTGAAAATGATTATAGTAAAAACACAAAATTCAAGCAAAGAGATCAAAACCAAAATATATTGCTCTCGGTTAAATTCAATTCATAAAACAATTTTACAATTTTTACAGGGTCCTTTTCATCCAACTATATACACACTATCAATGTAAAATAAAATTTTCTATATACATCAACTAATAGGAAATTATGAAACCATAATTAATCGCGGGAAATGTGTGGAAAGTTTTTGATTGCATTTCCTATCTAATATTATTACACTATCTATTAAAAACGTTGGTCCTCTTAGCTAGAATTAAATCGTAATTTAAACAAGGCCTACCAACATAAAATATTGTACTAAATTTCACAACAGTCAAATATCCGCTTTTTTCAAAATAATTTTTTTTCACGGGGGAAATTTAAGTGCCCCTATCAATTTTGACGTAAATACTGCAATTTCGCAGATAATCGTAAAATTGTAATTCTTTGACAAAATTTACTTATTTTAAGCAAAATTTATTTTTGGTAAATTTTGTTAGTAATTACTAACAAAATTTAATTGTCTACAAAAAGATCAATTATTGCATAAATATTGCAGTTTTAGAGATACTTTTTTAACAAAACCTATTTAGAAACTAGAAGTTTTTTTGATATAGTTTGTTAGTAATTTTAATTTCCCACAAAATTGATTATTTAGTTTCAAAATTGCCATTTTCAGTCAAATATATTTCTAGGGCGCGTAGTAAAGCCAAAAATAAGTTTTGTTTATTTGACTCACCCTAATTAGTTATTACTTAATTTAAAAATAGTTATTTACGATATAAGTGGGATAAGAGCTTTATTAACGTACGCATGCGAAAGTACGTTAATAAAGCGTTATCACACGTATATTGTACAAATTTTTATCTACGCCTCTAAATGAAAAAATAAACGTTAATTATTTTTGTCTTAATTTAGGGTTATTTTGACATTTTGACTTTTTTATTTGATTGGTTAAAAGCAGAGAAAAACGCGTGCGTTAATGAACTTCTTATCTCACTCAAAATGAGTGGGATAAGAAGTTCTTATCTCACTGGCGTAGATAAAATAAATTACCAGAATGATTAAAGTGCAACAAACTAAAAAAAATGTCAAAAAACGTAACCTCAAAACCAAAACACTGACAACTAAACAATTAAGGTCAATTTACACTGCGATAGTTCAAATCTATCGGATTTCTACAGAAAAAATTGTCAAAAATGTGTTTTTTATAATTTTAGCACCTAATTTGAATAATTTGTAGATTTTTGAAAACTGAAATTATAACTTAAATGAAATTATAAAAAAACACATTTTTGCAGAAATCTGATAGCTGTCAGCTATTGTAGTGTGAATTGACCTTAATTGAATGGTTGTCACTAGGGTTACCAGATTCTGCCAAAAAAATAAAGTACCTTTTGTGACAATTTACCTTAATTACAAATATGACACAATCAACAATACTTAGGTAACGTCAAATTCAAAATAACAATTTTGTTTTGTAATTAAGGTAAATTCTCACAAAATGTACTTTATTTTTTTGACAGAATCTGGCAATCCTAGTTGTCACTGTCAAGTTGTTCAACATTGTTTACACTATACGCCCTAAAAAAAATCCCTTTTTTAACACCCTGTATATAAAAGTGTAAAATTTATATCTACTAATTTGTCTATTTAATTCAGTGAATTTGACTAATTAATTTTTAGAGTAAATAGTAGGAAATTGGACAAATTATTATTTTTTACTTAGATGTTAGGTAAGTTTTGTCATGTAAATGACAATTTTGAAATAAAATGGCGATTATCTCTGAAACTAGAATATTTATTAAAAATTATATTTACTAAAAAAATATATCAAAAAAAATGTACTAATCAAATTTGTGAATTAGATAAATTCAATATTGTCTCTGGATCAAAAATTTTCACATGATTATTGTACTTTTTTTGTAGACAATTAAATTTATATAAAAAATAGTTAACCTTTAAATTAAGTTGTTTGATAAAAATACAATTTTAAGATAAAATCGCTATGAAACTGCAATATTTATGCGATAATTGATAAGGACATTTTTTGTAGATTTACTAAAAAATAATTTTAAATTAATAAGAAAATGTTGTCAAAAAATTACAATTCCAAGATAAAGTCGCTATAATATCTGGATCAAAAATTTTCACATGATTATTGATGATTGTAGGGAATTAAATTTTCCAACAAATTATATAATAAAATCGTACACCTTTAAAATAAGTTAAAAAAAAACAATTTTAAGATTAAATTGCAATTATCTTTAAAACTGCAAATTTATGCATTTTTTAGAATAAGTAAATTTTGTCAGAAAATTACAATTTAGTTTTTACAAGTTAAATTCGATATTTTCTTTGGAACGAAATTTTTCACATGATTATATAAGTATTTTTTTGTAGACAATTAAATTTTCCAACAAATTATATAAAAAAATCGTCTACCTTTAAAATAAGTTTTTTTTAAATACAATTTTAAGATAAAATCGCAATTATCTTTGAAACTGCAATATTTATGTGATAATTGATAAATTAATTAAGCATAGCAAATTATTTTGTTGCTTTTTATGTGCATTTAGGATGTTTACCAAAAAAGTTTTTTTTGTGTACATAATTTTTTCTCACCTCAAAGCATAATATTTTTTCTATTATGTACCACATTAAATTCGAAAGAAGCAAATATTCGACGCACTAAACTAAATTAGTAAGAATGTTAGCAAAACTGTTTCTTGAAATCAATATTGGACATTGTGACGACAACCATGTAAAGTCTATTTATTTAACAGTAACTGTATTTTTTATTTAGCCCGTCTGTTAAATGAATGGAGTTAAGTTCCGGCTTTCCCCACCTCGGTTTGAAATAAAAATCACTGGTTCAGACATATGTAACTCCCACACACTTCCCCTGCAATCCCGACAAAATCGCGAAAAGGTGATTTCCTAAAACGATAAAACGAAAAAAAAAGATCTGTTCAGTCTTACTGTTGCCGCTTCTCCTCCTCCAGCATGGCGTCCAGCTCGTCCGTCAGGTTGGCCAGCATGTTGCCGATGTCGTTGAGCACGTCGGCCGGCTCGGAGGACCGCTGCGCCGGCCGGCCGGACGGGCCGCCGGGCTGCTGTCGCGCGCCCGCGCACGGGGTGGGGGACGGATGCGGCGGCAGGCCGGAGCGCGACTTGGGCGCGGAGGCGGCGCCCGCGCAGACGGTGTAGTCGGACTGGCGGCCGCCGGCGCGCGTCCGGATGGTGCCCGCGTTCTCGTTGGCGAACGGCAGCGAGTCCGATTCTGTGCTTGAACTCGACTGAAGAGGAAGAAAAGAAACATGTTCAAGATAAGGGTAAAAAATATTGAAAATAAATATAAACTATGTTTCAAAGTAATTATTATAAAATATAAATTAAAGCGCGAACTATAACCATTTTTAAACAACAAATATTGGGATACTTTGGGATACAATTCTATCCCTAGTTAAGAAATGAATTTTATTATTTTACAAGGTATTACATTATTTAATATAAATTTGGAAATATAAATAATAAAATAATTTTACAAAATATACGATATTAAGTGAGGCTTGTCATAGCAAAACTGACAATCTTCACTTTTGGTTAAAAATTAGATTTTTGGCGGAGACTGTACTTCAACTAATTATCTATAATTAGATAAAGTTTATGTGCTGCAAAAGGAGCTAAATCCTGCCTAAAATCATATTTTAAAAATGACATTTAGTGCAAAGTCGACAATCTCCACTGATATATTTGCAACAAAGTATACAATCTCCAATTCCACCATTAGAAATTAGTAATTTGTGTCACCTGATATCCTAACATTTGATGTTATAACGTATTTTAGAGATTTAATTTTGTGTTTTTTTACTGGTACATACTGTTAAGTTCTATTGCAGTAAATTACACTTAAAAATATATTTAAAATAGGTATATATACGTTTTATTGTTTTAAGAATTATAAAAAAGATATCTTGTTTATTTTTTGCTATTATACCATAATAAGACGTAAAGGCTGATAATGTCAAAACATTGCAAGTAAAACATTACGGGGCAAAGTGGGAAGAAGATGATGAGTTGTTGTACTATAAAAACTTTTTTGCACGAGGCAACCTGGTGTCAGATTTATAAGAAACTCCAGATTTATGTGGTTCAGTTCAGAATTTTCCCACATTGATTATATAGTTAAATTTAATAACCATTAAAGGAAAAAAATACAATTATTTTTTTGTTTATTTTTTTAAATCTCCTTAAACGTTTACAACAAAATGAGTAATCTCCAGCAATTCATATTAAAGTCAGCAATCTCCAATTTATAATTATAGATTTCACCTATACTATGCATCCTGGAGACCTTGTAGTTTGCTACTAGACTAACAACAACAATATTTCAATATAATATATAAAAAAAATTACAAATCTAGAATTTAAAATACCAAAATCAATTATCTCAATTTACTCAGTTTTAGTCTGACGGGAAATTGTTGACTTTGCTCTGACAGGCCTCAAGTAACCTTTAGTTTAAACTATAAAATAAAGTTATTTTTATGAATAATTTTTTATGTGAGGTTCTACTTTAAAAAACCTAATCCCGGGGCGGTAATAGTATATTGTGTCTCAAGGGCAGAAAACTAGCTTTAGCAGCTCGCGGCTATTAACTGCCTGAGCGAGCAAAGCGAAGCGAGGGCAGTTGATAGCTAAGGGCTGCTAATGCGTTTTCTGAATGTGTGACACACACCTGTTTTTCGCCTAGCATCAAATTATTTTTTTAAATTTTATTAATATAAACGGAATTTTATAAAAAACTTCAGTAACAATTTACGAATTTATTTATTGTTGTAATTAATGTTAATTATGCCTTGAGCACAATTGTGGATAGTACCAGAATTTGAAGGCTTATTTCTACAGATGAAGTTAATGTTTCATTAGAATTATCTTTGATCTTTCCGATAGATAAGCAACTAATACATTTTCTGTTAAGTTTTTGGGTTTTTGATCCTTTTTCCAGTTTTTAAATAATTCATAGCACTTTTCGTACCGTTGCAACGCATTGTCTTAACAGCTAGCTAGCTTCCTCTTTTTCAAATCTGGTCAAGTATTCGTAAATTTTTCGTCACTGTCCGAGTTACCATTAATTTTCACTTTATTACAAAATTTAAATTAGGTTTTATTCTTATTTTATACTTTTGTTGTCCGTTTTTATTTTGATTTACACAAACGTCTGAAAATCTCAAATGTCAAAATGTTAAATGCCAAAATTGGTATCTAGAATGTGAAAAACTAGGGACGATATGAGTTTAGCGACCCTAGAGACAATAAATAATATTTTCGGTCATATTTTTAGGTTTGATATAATTCATTTTTATATGTGCTGGGCGAAAAAATAAAATGGGGCCCCGAGTGTGCTTATGAAATAAAGTGATTGTTTTATAAATGTTAATGTTTTGTTATTTTAAATTGGTTAGTAGATCCTCTTAGCAAGTCCTTCGCAACACTTCTAAGTATACATATATTTAAACTTGTTAATAATTTAAATTTTAAAAATCAAGGGGCAGTCTAAGATTAACCATTATGATGGATTGCAGCTAGGGGCTCCCAAGAACAAAATATTAAAAAAATTTTTTAGTATTTTGGTTTTTTTTCATGCATGTTATCCTTTAGATTTTTTTAATCAGTTTATATTTTATGATAACACTGGGTCCTGAAATATTTATATCTATACTAGGGTAAGATTATTTTAGTTTAAAAAAATTTCCTTACAGAAAAAAAATATATATATAACTAAACATAGAAATAAATTTGATTTAACAAAATAAACGTAAACGATAAATATAATATGTATATAAAATGATTTATAAGTTAATTTACAAAATTATAATTTTATAAATCGAACTGTCAAATAATACGAAAGTTATGTTAATACAGCACCAAATATGTTTTTTGCGACACGAATATTCCTACTGAATTAAAAAAAAATTAATAATTATTGTAATCATAATATTATGATTATATTTATTGTCGAAAATTAACTTTTTTCTTGATATCAGTGTACGTATAGTATCCGAAAAATTTGGAAATTTTCCGAAAAATGCAAAAGTAAATTTTTCTAAAAACTTCCCCCAATTTTTCCTGTTTTTTTTCTTTCGGAAAAAACAGTTTTTTTTCGAAAAAAACGGTTTTTTTCTCCGGCTTAATTTTTCCGGAAATTTTAAATCTCTAATCTATAAAAACATAAAATGTTAGGTTTTTTATTGGACTACTTAAGATTTAGCGTTCGATAAGGTTCGAATTACTTTTCAGTGTGTTGTGTTTGTGCTAAACTTAGTTGCATTGTTTTGTTTGTTGCCTTTATTAAAATGCGGTGAGCCATATTTGGATGCTATACATTTTATTAATTATTAATAAAATGTAAAACAAGTTTATAAAAACAAAATGCACAGTACAAATGAAAAGAGAAAAAGTCATTAGTTGAAATTGTTATTTTGTTGTTGCAGCATGGCATTCAATTATTACTGTTGCAGTTTTTTCAATTATAAAATTGTATTAAATATTTTTGGTTAATTTTTTTTCAAAATAAAAAATTAACTTTAAATACAGGGTGTTATGTAATTAATGTAATATATAAAAATACTGAATACCTTTTGACATAAGGTGTAACGGAAAATTATTAAAAAAAATATTTTCCCAAAGATAAAGAAAAAATATGAATTAGTTCAGATATAGTTTTTATTTTGTTAAATAACATATCTGATTTTTTGTTAAGGTGGGGTTTCATGGAAATACCCAAAATTTAAACCCCACCGCATCCTTTTAAAAATTCTATTTTGAATTTATAATATTAACAAAAGGATTACAATAAATCAAAACAAAAATAAAATTTCACAGGAATTTTTAAATTTTTTCCGGAAATTTTTGTATTATAATTTAAAATTGTAATAAATAATTTTCTTTTAATAATAAACAAATAGGTACATATTTAAATGGAATTAAATATTTTTCTAAAGCATCAAGAATCTATATTATTAATAGAGATGGGAAAATTCCCATTTGACGAAAATTCCCGGAAACTTTCCATCAAAAATTCCCGAAATTTTCCGAAAGTTTAAAAAAAAAAAATTTTATTGCGAAAATATTTTTTTTATGCCAGGGATTTGCAAAAATATATAACACATCAAATTTTATTAAGAAAAAAAAAATAAAAAAAATGTTTATAAGAATGTAACTGCAATACTATTTTTAGTATCTTTTACTTTAGAATATTCCTATTGTATACTGAAACCTACAAAATAAAAATAAAATGTTTACTATTAGAAATTTACTGCTAGTAAATCCTAGATATTACGTAAAAAAATTAAAATGGACAAAGTAACTAATATATAGGAATATTGAAAAGTAAAAGATACTAAAAATAGTATTGCAGTTCTGACTGATAACATTTTTGTTTTGTAATAATTCCAAACACTAGATTTTTCTCTTGGCATTGTGCTATGCCTATAAATAAACAACAAAAATGTAAGAATGATTTTAACTTTGTTTATTGTTTTTATTTTGTTTCCCTTTTTTTAAAAAAGTTTTTTGTGATGATGCTGAATAATCCGGCTTCATTGAGGTTATGTAACATAACTTACATTATTTATACTTCTTCTTCTTCTGCTTTAAATTAACACACATTAAATTCTTATTCAAAGTTTCTTGGCCTTGTATCATGGCCTTAACGAAAATCAGCGGTTAAACAATTGACATTTAAATGAAAAAAACAAGGAAAGTTTCCAAAGAATGTTTCCGGTAGCTTAAAAGAAACTTTCAAAATGAAAATAAACCCATCTCTAATTATTAACACTATTGAAATACATATTTTTGGTTAAAACATTGTTAAAATCTTATATTTTCTTTTAATAATTAAAAATAAATTTAAATACCTAGTATCAAATATTTTTCCAAAGCACCTATTACCTATCCATATTATAACACTTTCTTCAATATTAAGTTTAAAAAAAAACTATATCCAGATATTTCTCTATAAACTTTGACAATATTGCTATTATTCGTGTATTCGCGCGGCTACTACTCATCGAGTGACGTAACGCGCGGAACAAACGGAAACTCGTCCACGGGAGCATCCAGCCTTGTACAACGGTTGAATATTAGAGAAAGAAAAACAACTAACCTTAAAACTAGCATCAGAGCCGTTTCTGTGCTGCAGCGCCAACGTTTTGATGAGCTCCTGCTCCTCGGCGCCCCACGATTGCGAAGAGTTCAGCTTGCAATGGTCGCGGTTGCCCGGCGGAGTGCCGGGTGCCGGCGGCGGGGGCAAAGGCAGGTCCCCCTGCCCGTCCAGAGATATGCTTAAGCTGTCGGAACTGGGATACGCGGGCAGAGGCAGCGGACTGCTGGTCTGGACGTGGTGAATCTCGACTGCAAAGATATTGGTATTTTTAAATTTATAAGAAAAAATTGAACCCACACCTCGCCAAAGTTTTTTGTTTTGAATGCGTTCCACCAACTTCAAATACCGACAGACAGCTGTTTCGACCTTTATTGGGTCTCATCAGTGTCGGGCAACTTGGTGTAGTGGAACACAATCAAAACAAATTACTTCCTGAGCTTATATGCTCGGTTGTTAAGTCAACAGAGGCGAGATGTAAGAACATCAGGTGATCCACACCGTCAAACGACGTGGCCTTTGCCGGTGTAGGTTCAATTTTTTCTTATGAATATTACCAGTGATGTGTTTCTTAAAGAAACTAAGAAAATTGAATGTTTTTAAATTTATTTTAATTACGAACATGTTAAAAATATACCTAGAAACTGAGTAAGAAATTGACTACATTAAAAAATCTAATTTTGAATTATTATTCTTATTTTAATGTCAAAATACAATTCAAAATGACAAGCCTTATTTTAACAATGTAAAAACAGATCAAACAAATTTAAGAAGGTCAAAAATATTTATAATCTATTTTTGTTAATCCTTAAATATGATTTTTAACAATCCAAAATGAATATTCTAAGAGACATTCTTAAATGTTTTTAGTTTCCAAATTGTTTTAACATTCTAAAACGTGTTTTTGCCTTTTCTGAAATATGTTTAAACCACAAATCTTGACATTCTTTTGTTTGTTTTGATATTCCTTAGAATGTTGAGGTCAAAACTATATTTAGTTTTAACATTCTTCAATGTCTTTTTTTGAAATTCTAAAATAAATATTCTTAGACATTCTTAATTTGTTTTAACATTCTAAATTGCTTTTATGTAAAAATACTTCCAAGTGTCTTAAATAATACTTAAAACTGAAATATGTTTTAAACATACAAAATTAAAATGTTTAACGACATTCTTAAATATCTTCTTAAATACGTGATGATATTCTAATAAATATTTTTAGTTCTAAGTTCTAACGTTGAGTGAAAAATATTTATAATCTATTTTTGTTAATCCTTAAATATGGTTTTTAACAATCCAAAATAAATATTCTAAGAGACATTCTTAAATGTTTTTAGTTTCCAAATTGTATTAACATTCTAAAACGTGTTTTTGCCTTTTCTGAAATATGTTTAAACCATATTAAACAAATCTTGACATTATTTTGTTTGTTTTGATATTCCTTAGAATGTTGAGGTCAAAACTATTTTTAGTTTTAACATTCTTCAATGTTTTTTTTTGAAATTCTAAAATAAATATTCTTAGACATTCTTAATTTGTTTTAACATTCTAAATTGCTTTTATGTAAAAATACTTCCAAGTGTCTTAAATAATACTTAAAACTGAAATATGTTTTAAACATACAAAATTAAAATGTTTAACGACATTCTTAAATATCTTCTTAAATACGTGATGATATTCTAATAAATATTTTTAGTTCTAAGTTCTAACGTTGATCACTCTTTAAGAATGTAAAAACAGTTAAAACAAATTTTAAAATGTCAAAACCACATTAAAAATTTAGTTTTGACATTCTTCACTGTTTATTCTTGAATAAGGTTTTTAACATTTTAAAATGAATATTTTTAAAGACATTCTTAATTTGTTTTAACATTCTAAATTACTTTTTTTGTAAAAATTCTTTAAATCTCTTAAATATTACTCGACACTGTTAAATGTGTTTTTAACATTCGAAAATTTGTTTTAACATTCTTAAACAAATTAACATTTTAAAGTGTGTTTTGACATTCCTTAGAATGCTAAAATTAAAACCATATTTATAGTCTTTTTATATCTTCAATATTTTTTGACATTTATTATTTTTTTAAGATTCTAAAATGAAGCAATTTTTGACATTCTTAAACATCCTAAATTGTTTTTTTTGTGAATAGTCTGAGATTACATTCTTAATTGTGTTTGACATTCTAAACCGTGATTTTATCATTCCAAATTTAATTATTCTAAATTATTTTTTACTAAATAGTCTGAGATTACATTATTAAATGTTTTTGACATTCTTAAGAATGGTTTATCATTCTAATTGTTTTTTTTGTAAATATCCTTACTTGACACTGTTAAATGTGTTTAACATTCCAAAATGTGTTTTAACATTCTAAAAAGTATTTTGTTTAAACCATCTTATTCAAATTTTGACATTCTAAAGTGTTTTGATATTCCTTGAAATACTGAGATCAAAACCATATTTAATGTCTTGGTTTATCTTAAGTTTTTGACATGTTTTAGTTTTACATTCTTTAATATGGTTTTAAGATTCTAAAATGACATTCTTAAACATTCTAAACTGTTTTTTTGTAAATAGTCTGAGAATACATTCTTAAATGTTTTTGACATTCTAAACTGTGTATTTAACATTCCAAATTATGTTTTTGACATTCTTAAATATGGTTTATCATTTTAAATTGTTTTTTTTTTGTGAATATGCCTCGAGTCCCTCAAATATTTCTTAATGCTGCTAAATGTATTTTTAACATTCCAAAATGTGTTTTGACATTCTAAAACGTATTTTGTTTAAACCATCCTAATCAAATTTTGACATTTTAAAGTGTGTTTGGACATTCCTTAGAATGCTAAGATCAAAACAATATTTAAAGTCTTGTTTTATTTTCTCTCCATCATTGTTTTTTGACATTTTTTATTTTTATATTCTTAAATATGGTTTAAAGATTCTAAAATAAAGCTGGTTTTGACGTTTTTAAACATTCTAAATTGTTTTTCTGTAAATAGTCCGAGATTACATTCTTAAATGTTTTTGACATTCTAAACCGTGTTTTTAAAATTCTAAATTATGTTTTTGACATTCCTAAATATGATTTATCATTATAAATTGTTTTTTTGTTAATATGCTTTGAGTTCCTCAAATATTTCGAAAATGTGTTTTAACATTCTTAAACAAATTAACATGTTAAAGTGTGTTTTGACATTCCTTAGAATGCTATATTTATAGTCCTATTTTATCTTCAATATTTTTTGACATTTTTTATTTTTACATTCTTAAATATGGTTTTAAGATTCTAAAATGAATAGTCTGAGATTACATTATTAAATGTGTTTAACATTCCAAAATGTGTTTTAACATTCTAAAAAGTATTTTGTTTAAACCATCTTAATCAAATTTTCACATTCTAAAATGTGTTTTAACGTTCCTTAAAAGGCTAAGATCAAAACCATATTTAAATTCTTGTTTTATTTTCAACATTCTAAATTATTTTTTTTGTAAATAGTTCAAGATTACATTCTTAAATGTTTTCGACAATCTAAACCGTGTTTTTAACATTCCAAATTATGTTTTTGACATTCTTAAAAATGGTTTATCATTCTAAATTGTTTTTTTGTGAATATGCAGTCTTTTAAATATTACTTGACACTGTTAAGTATTTTTTTAACATTCCAAAATCTGTTTTAACATTCTAAAACGTATTTTGGTTTCAGATTTTTACATTCTTAAGTGTGTTTTAACATTTCTTGGAATGCTAAGCTTAAAACCAAATTTATAGTCTTGTTTTATCTTCAATATTTTTTGAAATTTTTTATTTTAACATTCTAAATTGTTTTTTTTTAATAGTCTGTATTACATTCTTTAATATTTTTGACATTGGTTTATCATTCTAAATTGTTTTTTTTTGTAAATAAGCTTTAAGTCTCTTAAATATTACTTGACATTAAATGTTTTTTAACATTCCAAAATGTGTTTTAACATTCCAAATGTATTTAAAAGTTAAAACCATCTTAGATTAAATTTTGACATTCTTTAGAATGTTAAGATTAAACATTAATTTATAATCTAGTTTTATCTTCAATGATTTTTAAGATTTTTTAGTTCTACATTTTTAAATTTGGTTTTAAGATTTTAAAATGAAGCTTGTTTTGAAATTTTTTAAATGTTTTGACATTCTTAAATGTTTTTCTAAAACTGTGTCTTTAATTGACAAAAAATTTTAAAATAATGTTTTTTGTGTTTAATTTATTGTAAATAAAAGCAACATCATACCTGTGGTGGTTTGCTCACTGTCCTGTCTTTTGGGGGGGTTCGGGGGTATCTTCTTCCCCATCATGGGGCTGCCATACTGAATATGGTATTTACTGGTATCGATCATATCCCTCGGCAGAGTTTTGTATGGCGCGTTCCCGTACGATTCCGGGTTGAATTGCGGTTTCTCGAAGTCCGGGAAAGTTTCCCGCGCCTTTGCCGCTATTTTGGCGATGGGGCGGGGCCTGATAACCCCTTTGGGTCTCGGCAAGGTGCCGCCCCCTTCGTACATCAAGCCCGACTCGTTTGTTGGGGTTATGTCGCCGTCATCGTAGGATCTTAAAGGGCAAACATTGTCAAATGTGTTTTTACTAGGGAATTTAGTAATTTTTTTTTTTATCTCAAATTGACAAGGCTATTTCTTTTGTTCAACTGTAGGAAATTTTTGAAAAATTTACAGAAAAAAATGCCATAACTTGGCCAAAAAATATATAAAAAATTAAGTGAATTTACTTAATTTTTTTTTAATTGTTTTTTCTAAAAAAGGCTAAAAAATAGTAGTCTGGAAAAAATACAATTTTATTCTTTTTTTGCAATGCTGGTTTTCAAAAAATGAAAAACTTTATGCCAAAACTATTTTGTTATAATTGGTTAGTCATAAAGAAAATCCACTTTTTTTAAATTTGATACCAAATATTAATTAATTTTTTTAATAATTCGCTTTAAAGTACCTATTCATAAAATTGAATGAATTAGGTTTTAAAGTGTGTACAGAAGTAAATAAATTAAGAAGGCTTTGAAACCTTTGTATTTAAAAGAAGTATCAGTTTTGACAATTCGTTAGTTTGTTTTGCTGGTAAGTGAGTAATATTATTTTATTTTACTATGAAAACATACGCTAAATCTTTTTATAAAATAAAATATAAATAAGTAATTGCACAACATTTTTTAGTTTTAAAACTACTAAATAATAGTATATTATGTATCAAGTTTGATAAGCGCCATTTTATACACGAATTTAATTTAGGCACGAGCGAGCTTGCGAGCGAGTGCTTAAGTTAATGAGTGTATAGAAAAGTTTATAAACGAGGTGCATACTATACTTTTTCTACGACAAATACTTATTATTATCTTAAAATGATTTAAATCAAAAATTTGTATAGAGCGCCATCTATGAAACAACAGGGGAAACTGTCAAATGTCACATTTTTACATTTTATAAACACAATTATAAAGGTTATAAATCCAAATGTATCTTGAAAATTGACAGTTTTTCACAGCGAAAGTAAAGGAAATGTTTTATGAGGACTTTACAGTAGAGTCCGTGCCCGAATTTAAGTTATAGTTTACTGCCGGCGAAATTAAAAGGTCAGTACAATGTTCATATAAACTTTTAAAATATTGGCGTTAAGAAACCATTTAATATTTTTGTATTGAGATAATAAAATAATTTTCACATTTAGTATTATTTTACAAGAAAGGCACTTTATTTTAACGATTGTATGACATTTGACAACTGTCAACTAACTTAAAACTAACTTCAGCCCGTGACTAAAAACCTGTTGCTAACTTCAGCCCGTGACTAAAGCGCCGTAAAGCCAAAACTTGTCAATGTGTATTTAAAAGGTCACTTAGTGTCATGGAAACATGTACGATAAAGTGCGTTTTAAAGGTGGGAGTAGAAAATATCTTTGAAATATTTTTAACGATTATAAAAAGTTATATCTAACCGCCCCATAGTGTGGCGTTGTTGGGAATCTCTGGCAATAAAAAAAAAACGAAATATGAAATCAAATGAAAATTTGTTATTTATAAACATAATAAAACTGCGCATTACTTTCTGGACTTAGGCTTAATACATATTTCCCTTTCTGATAGAGCCTCAGTCAAAAAGAGTTTTGCGACTACCTCACTGATATCTGTTAACCGACCAAAATTTGAAATTTGAAATCGCGTTTTTATAAGTGACAAAAATACGAATTTTCTAGAAAATGGCATTTTCATTAAAAAAATAATAATTCCGAAACGACGAATTTAGCCAACTAGGGACTTTTGGTGAATTTTGTTCCTATTATCAACTTCAAACAAAAAAAATATGAAATAAAAAAAAATGTGGCAATGTCAAAAAAAATTTTTGCCTTCTTTATAAAAAACAATTTAAAAAAGAATTTTGTGAATTCACTTAATTTTTTATGTTTTTTGTGCGTAGTAAACCTTTACCTACAATTTAAAAAAAAATTGTAGCGATCGAAAAGTTTTTGGCCAAGTTATCGTATTTTGAAGAAAAAGTTTCAGTCGTAAAAAAAATTGTTTCGATTTCGGTAGAGAAACTGTAAAAAAAACTTTTTTACCTGGTCGATTTAAGATGGAAATACCCCATTATAAACTTTTACTTTTTTAAAGTCATTATTAATTCTTTGTATAACTAACTACATTTTAACTAAATTATTATTATTATTACCTGGGTCGCCATCCACCCATAGGTTGTTGGTAGTAAAATGTTTGCGTGTTTTCCGCGTTGAATGTGTGATGGGTTCTTTCATTTGGGTCCTCCAAGGATTCTAGTGATTTCCCCCTACCTGTTCTTATCTGAAACAACACATAGATAATTTGTCATTTTATTTCATTGTGGCTTACTTAGCCTTTAAAAAAATCATTTGGGCCAAAAACAATTATTTTGGTATATTAAAATAAATAACATGATTTTTCCAAAGGTAAATGATATCATTTAATATGTCTTATATTATGCCGCATTTTCATTTGAAATATATACACTCGAGTGAACCCGAGTGAAGTTTGATTTTTAGTTTTGTTTGAAGAGAATTATTTTATTTTAGTTTTTAAAGAGAATTTTTTGTTTCAAATTTTTTTTATACAAAAAACACTTTTAGTTAAATGCAAATCAAATAATGATTTTACATCTTTAATTAATACTTTACGTCGTTTTTTAAAATAAATTAATTTAATAATGCGTATTAATAATCCAGAGCAAATCACTCAACGCCGGTGAATTACGAAAACCTTCTCTCGGGCCGAGACTTTTATCGTCTCACACTCTTAAAAATTCTTTTCCCACTTTTAAAAACCTGTCTACATATAAAATGAAAGTACGGTATATTATTTAGTGCATTTTACCTGTTCATCTGCGTTTATACAAGGTGTCCCTAAAATGCCTGAACAAAATGATACCAAATATTCCTGAGACCGAAATATTGCGATATAACTGAATTTACTTATACCTATATAAAAAGTTAATAAAATCAAGATACAAAGTTGAAAGTTCGTTTTTGATTTTATTAAATAACAACATTTTTTGCACAAAATTTGATTTTTGGGGGTTTTCAGGCCAGGAAAATTAAATTTCCTAATAAAATTGCGGTATATATTATTTTATACAGGCATTTCGGGGACAACTAGTGTGATAAAATATTCCAATTAAGGACGAATTTTAGTTTAAAAAAGGACTTTTAGACCACCAAAATATCTTTAACATATAAACGTAGTTTGGACCATACTAGCAAATGTTTTGTTCGGCTTTCCTAGCATGCATATCGCACAAAAAAGGAAAACAAAGACAACGGTATATGGCGACAAATAAATGAAAAAGGAATCAAAACTCATATCAATCAGGGACAGATATAATAGTTTATTGAAATAACATTTTACCATAGATGATACGGTTTGTTTTGGTCCTCATCAGTGTTGGGTAGCCATGTAAAAGCCATTTATTGAGCCACGAGATTAAAGGCTATTTATTACTTGTTATTGCTAATTGCTAATTTATCATTTTTATTAAAAAAATTATCTCTCATCAAAATTTCGAATCGAATTTTAAAAATTACAAAAATAATCAAATTCTAATTTAAAATAATATTTTTTTCGCCATAGTAAATTTTAGTACACAAAAAAGTTTTAGCTTAAAAAATGAATTTTTAAAGGATTACTCATTAATAGTTATTCGTAGGCAAAATTTAGAATTTCTAGCTAAGAAGCCCCAGAGCTGAAACCAAAAATTTTTTAACCATTTTATGAATTTTCAAAACTATTGTGCGACCATTAATTTTTTTATCAATTTAGTTGATTTTTGAAGAGCTTTTGATAAACTTTTATTCGGTTTTTTGCGGAGAAAAATTTATAGCCTAGGTCAATTCTGGGTTCTCTCGTAAAATTTCTGTAAATTCGTAAATCTATAGCTTACGATAATCTGTAACTATAATGCTTATAGAATCGTAAAAGTGGCAAGTCTGGGATGTTATCTGTAAATGTCTAATTTAAAGTAGTATAAACGAACTACTGCAACTTCACGCCTATTTACTTACGATCAAACATAACCTATATTTTTATATGTATTCTTTGGTTTATCCAGTTTATCGGTTTTCATTTATGTACCAGCATATGATATAATACAAAAAGTAAGAAATTTAAACTGGTTGAGGAATAAAATGAGGTAAGATAATTTTACATTTAAAAGAACATAATATAATGAATAAAATTGTTAGTGCGTTAAGTGAAGAAGTCAATCAATGGTTAGTGGTAACGCAAAAGCAACAAAGAAAAAAAGATAAAAAAACACCACTCCTCAACAGTTGAACTATATATGGATGCAATGGATGAAGATTATGCATTGGGCCAAACATGGCAGGAACTTAATAAATTTGAACAGAAAATAAAAAAAAACATTTTGAGCTTATTAAAAACTATTTAGAAAATTATATAAAGCTGAAGGAAGAACAATTAGGATTTTAAGTAAAAAAAATTAAATTTTTAAATCCAAATTTTGATATTTGTCCCATTAATTTTTGACTAATTAGAATATTCTAATATATATTTATTTATTTTGTGTTTATTTCTTTTTTTACCGAGTAGGCTGTGGTTTATTTTAATATTATATTATTTTATTTTCTTATGTAAAATAAAAATATAAAGTTTTGTATTAATACAATTATTGTTTTATTTAGTCAAAATTAAAATTATTTCTTATGTATTTGGCCCAGGCTGCTTGTCCCAATTGATAAATATTACCATTATTATATCCACATTGACATAATTAAAAATATTCATGTTTTTAATTTTTAAAATAACTTGACATAACCTAACAGAAACCATCTGTAACTAGCAACGATTGGGAAACACCCGATCGTAAATATTTACGATTCTATAAGATTTTCTTTAAGCTACAGGAAGCGCAGAATTGACCTATTAATAATAACTTTTTATAATAATAATTAATATTATAATCTATTTGATAAGCAAACAGATACAACAGATACAATATTAAATATTATAATAAGTCTCTAAATTGGCTCAAAAATCTCTAAAACTAGTTAAACTTCACTGGACCTAGTAAAAATTTTAATATTCGAATATTTAAAAATTCGATTATTTGAATATTCGAAATAATTTTTAAACGGGTATTCGAATTTTTAAAACTCTAAAATTCCCAGCGTTGGTAATTACACGATATGAGTTTTCATCCCTCCTTGGAAACAATTCAGTCGGATCGAATGAATTGAGAAATGTCGATATTGTTGAATAGGTACCTGTATCGGGACAATGTCAGTGCAATAGATGGGTTGCACGTAGTGATTGGCTTGTGCGGCCGCCTGCGAGGTTTGGTGGAGTTGCCGCGTTTGGTCGATCTCCCAGGGCTGGTGGAAGGAGCGGAAAGTGCTGTGGACGGCGGGGACGCCGGGAGACGGCGGGCCCAGTGGCGGCGCGTGCACCATCACATCCTTATACACACAAACATGCAGCGGTAAGCGAGAGGTCGTACAAAAGAGCTGGGTTGTTGTTTTTTTTCTTTCTTTTTTTTTAAATTACTTAGCGACCATTTCAAGCATACGGACAGGAGAAATCACAAAACTGTTTTTATAAAAAAAATGTAGATAATACACTCACGTGCAAAATAATCGATCCACATAAATTTTCGATGAATTTCAATCGCAAATAACTTTTTTATTTGATGTCGGATTTAAACGAATATTAAAAAATATTGTAGATAAATTAATGGACAATCGCTCACATTTTAAAAAAATACTAAAAAATAGACGTACGTTTATAATATACAGGTTTAAACAAAAATTGTTTTTTACCATAAGTTTAAGACACTCTGTAGAGTGGCAAAACCGTATATTGTTCTAAATTAGGTTTTATTTATCAAGTCACATCTATTCTTAACAGTTTTGTTTTTGGTTCACCTCGATATATTTATTTTTGTGGAAAATATGGAAAATGTGTTAATTTTAAGATGTCTTCTTACTTTTAAAAATGTCTCCGACTGATGTTGCCATTTGTACTTTACTTCTTGTGACGTTTAAAACACTTGCCACGTAATACTGTGACCGTCCATCCTGGATTAAATTAATAGCTCTGGCAACATCAGTCGGAGACATATCCATTTTATAAAGTAAAAAGACACCTCAAAATTTAAACATTAATTTGCAAAAAACAATTTGATAGCTTTTGAAAGCCGTGTATGACATGTCCAAGTATGGGATGATTCAACAAAACTGTCACTGTCACTCCATAGCCTATGGATGGACCATAGCAACCTTAGTTCTTCATACAGAAAAATATTGGAAATTGCAATGTTTTTTAAAAAATCCATATTTTCCACAAAAATAAATATATCGAGGTGAACCAAAAACTGTTAAGAATAGATGTGACTTGATAAATAAAACAATTTAGAACAATATACGGTTTTGCCACACTACAGAGTGTCTTAAACTTATGGTAAAAAACATCTTTTTGTTTAAACCTGTATATTATAAACGTACGTCTATTTTTTAGTATTTTTTTAAAATGTGAGCGATTGTCCATTAATTTATCTACAATATTCTTTAATATTCGTTTAAATCCTACATTAAATAAAAAAGTTATTTGTGATTGAAATTCATCAAAAATTTGTGTGGATAGATTATTTTGCACGTGAGTGTATATTATATAAAAATTTGGCATCAAAATTGTAAAAAATATTCTTCTTTTATTAGGCTATACATTAAATAAAAAAAACGCAAGAAATATTTTATAAAAGTAGAGATAATTTTAATAATTTATATAATATTTCTTGCGTTTTTTTAAATATAATGTATAGCCTAATAAAAGATGAATATTTTGGACAATTATGATTCCAAAATATTATATAATAAATTATCTACAATTTTTTTTATAAAAACAGTTTTGCGCTTGAAATGGCCGTTAGGTTGAATCGATGAATGAAATTTTGGGGTCCAAGGTAAGATTATGTGAAAGTGTATTTAAAGAGTCTACTGAGTCCAATTTTTGGGTTCTATCCATAACTTTTTATGATTTTTTTGTTTTTCGAAATTTTTTATGTTTTTACAACTTCTTTAAACATTATAATATAGGTAGTTTTTTTTTGTTTACCATTTTTATGATTTTCTGTAAATTAATTAGTTTTTTTTATCACAAAGAATTTGATTTTCAAGATTTTTTGTTTAATTAAATGATTTTTTGGCGTTTCTAAAAGCCAATAGAAATTTTTAATTTCAGTCATGTGTGTACGTTTAAGCCAATCAAAAGATTATTATATCGGAAATAATATCTACTGGAACTTATTTTCGCGAAAATTTTATGATTTTTTATCAGTATTTTATAATGAACAGCAAAAGGTTTAGTTTAACATCCTAGGGTGAATTAAACCTTTAAATAAGAAAAAATAATTTATTTTCACTCTCTTGATATTACTGTTGATAATTTTTTGACATTAGGTGAATTTTGCTAGTTTAGTTGGAAACAAATTTTGTTTTTCTTTGTAAATTATAAATTTACATTCTAAAATGTAATTTTGACACGTTATTTTTTCACAATCAACAATATTCTATGATCTACTTAAATATCTCGTAACATTCTAAAATATGGTTTTTATATTCTAAAATGCGACAAACTTTAAAATTTGAATTTAACATTCTTAAAATTATTAACGTTTTGCAATTTTACTGTGTTTAACCATTCTTGAGTAAGTTTAACATTCTTAAATTATTTTGATAAGATTATGTAGATACATTTTTTCACATTCTGAAATATTCTTTAATCTTCCTAAATAAGTCGTAGCATTCTGAATGGTGTTTTGACTTTCTTAAGCACGTTTTAGTTTTTTAAAATAAATTTGAATTATCATTCTTAAAAATATTAGTGACGTTATCAAATTTAATTAAGTTTAACATGCTTAAATATTATTTTGAGATTCTCCTTTTTTTCACATTCTAAAATACTCCTAAATCTTCTTAAATAAGTCATAACAGCCTGAATGGTGTTTTAACATTCTAAAATTTGACTTTTCTTAAAAATGTTATTAAAGTTTTATTAATAGGTTTAATCATTCTTGAGTAAGTTTAATATTCTTAATATTTTTGAGATTTTACATTTTTGTAACATTCAGAAATAAACTAATCTTTTTAAATTAAAGTCGTAACATTCTGAATGATGTTTTGCGACAAACTTTCCCTATTGAAGTTTGAAATTTGAATTTGACATTTTTAAAAATATTATTAACGTTTTTAAATTGAAATGTGTTTAATTATTCTTGGGTAATTTTAATATTCTTGAACATGATTTTGAGATTCTACATTTTTTCACATTTTGAAATTTCTTTAATCTTCTCAAATAAGTGAATGGTGTTTTAACTTTCTTAAGCATGTTTTAACATTCTAAAATGTGTTTTTTTATTCTAAAATTCTGCAAACTTTCATCAATGGGGTTTAAAGTTTTAATTTAACATTCTTAAATACGATTTTGAGATTCTACATTTTTTCACATTTTGAAATATTCTTTAATCTTCTTAAATAAGTCGTAACATTCTGAATGGTGTAACATTCTAAAATGTGTTTTAACTTTCTTAAGCATGTTTTAACATTCTAAAATGTGTTTTTTTATTCTAAAATGCTACAAACTTAAAAATATTATTAACTTTTTGAAATTAAAAGGCGTTTACCCATTCTTGAGTAGGTTTAACATTCTTAAATATGATTTTAAGATTCTAATTTTTTTCACATCCTGAAATATTCTATAATCTCTTAAATAAGTCCTGATATTCTAAATTGTGTTTTGACTTTCTTAAGCCCGGTTTAACATTCTAAAATGTGATTTTTTTCATTCTAAAATGCGACAAACATTCTAAAATGTGGTTTTTATATTCTAAAACCAGATAAACTTTCCTTAATGGGGTATGAAATTTAAGTGTTCTTGGGTAATTTTAACATTCTTAAATATGATTTTGAGATTCTACATTTTCTTCATATTTTGAACAATTTTTTAATCTTTTTAAATAGATCGTAACATTATAAATGGTGTTTTGACATTCTTGTTAAATTTAAACTTTTTTTCTATTTTTTGGACCATTTAAGACTTTGAGGTTTTTCCCCATTATTTTTGACCATTTTTTTATTGCTTTCAATGTAGTTTTTATATACATATTTTTATAAACTTTGATGATTATTTTTTAGACTAAAACCATTTTAGATTCTTTTCCACTAAAATCACATAATCTTGGTTGGATTTTTTAAAATAAACATAATAACCAATTTAGATAATAATACTACAATGAAATTACGAATAATAAATATTAATTGTAAAATAACGGTGTAATTTGTTTTATAAACATGGAATTGGAAAAGACATTTACAATGTAGGGTAACATACATGCCTTCAAATTAAACTTGATTGATGTGTATTTCATTTAATTTACACTTTGAACATGGCGTGTACTATATGTAAATAAAGTGTATAGTATTAAAAATATTGAAATAATCTACCATTCAAATAAACATGCTCAAAGTATAAAAATGAAAAATAAACTAATAATAATAAACACAAGCACATAATATGTAATTAAAATGTGCCATTTACTGTTACTACTAACCTGTGTCGCGTAAATTCGGTTTGCATCCGTGTTTATCCTTTTACCGGCTTTGACATCTTTTATTCTCTTGATGGCCAGCATTATTTTCTTCTGGTGGCCCAACTTTACCACGCCAAACTCTTCCAAATCTTCCCAGGTCAGTTGGGTGACGTCATCGACGGTTTGGTACCGCTGTTCTATGAAAGCTGGCAAGTATTCTTCCAGTCTTAAGATGCTCAGCCATTCCTCTAAAGAACCCTAAAACAACATATTTGTTCATCTTTTACATTCTAGAATGGTAATGGCTTTCTTAACATTTAGATTGCCTTAAAACTTGGAAATTGAATATTCTAAAATGTAGTTTTTATATTCTAAAATGCGAAAAACTTTCCTTAATGAAATTGAAATTTGAATTTGACATTCCTAAAAATATTATGAACGTTTTGAAATTTAAGTGTTAACTATTCTTGATAAGTTTAACATTCTTAAATATGATTTTGAAATTCTACATTTTTTACATTCTGAAATACTCTTTATTCTTGTTAAATAAGTCGTTGCATTCTGAATGATGTTTTGACTTTCTTAAGCACGTTTTAACATTCTTAAATGTGGTTTTTACATTCTAAAATGTAGTTTTTATATTCTAAAATGCGACAAAGATTCCTTAATGGGGTTTAAAATTTGAATTTAACATTCTTAAAAATATTATTAACGTTTTAAAATTTCAGTGTTTAACTAGTAAGTTTAACTAGTACGTTTAAGATTCTTAAATATGATTTTGAGATTTTACATTTTTTGTACATTCTGAAATACTCTTTAATCTTCTCAAATAAACCGTAGCATTCTGAATGGTGTTTTGACTTTTTTAAGCACGTTTTAACATTCTTAAATGTGGTTTTTACATTCTAAAATGCGACAAACTTTCTTTAATGGGGTTTAAGTGTTAACTATTTTTGGTAAGTTTAACATTCTTAAACGTGATTTTGAGATTGTACATTTTTTTACATTTACATTTTACATTCTGAAATTTGAATTTAACATTCCTAAAAATATTATATATTTTACATTTATTTACATACATTTTTTACATTCTGAAATACTCTTTATTCTTCTTAAATAAGTCCTAGCATTATAAATGATGTTATGACTTTCTTAAGCACGTTTTAACATTTTAAAATGAGGTTTTTATATTCTAAAATGCGACAAAACCACATAGTTAATCGACAAACTTTCCTTAATGTGGTTTAAAATTTGAATTTAACATTCTTAAAAATATTAACGCTTTAAAATTTAAGTGTTAACTATTCTTGATAAGTTTAACATTCTTAAATATGATTTTGAGATTCTACATTTTTGATACATTCTGAAATACTCTTTAATCTTCTTAAATAAGTCGTAGCACTCTGAATGGTGTTTCGACTTTCTTAAGCACGTTTTAACATTCTAAAATGTGGTTTTTATTTTCTAAAATGCGACAAACTTTCCTTAATGGGGGTTGACATTTAAATTTGACATTCCTAAAAATACAATTAACGTTTTGAAATTTAAGTTTTAACTATTTTTGAGTAAGTTTAACATTCTTAAATATGACTTTGAGATCCTAATTTTTTTTACATTTTGAAATATTCTTTAATCTTCTTAAATAAGTCGTATACATATGCTATAGCATTCTGAATAATGTTTTGACTTAAACACATTTTAACAATCTAAAATGTGATTTTTACATTCTAAAATGCGACAAAGTTTCCTTAATGGGATTTAAAATTTGAATTTAACATTCTTAAAAATATTAACGTTTTGAAATTTCAGTGTAAACTTTTGGGTAAGTTTAACATTCTTAAATATGATTTTAAGATTCTACATTCTTTTCACATTCTGAAATACTTTTTAATTTCCTAAATAAGTCGTAGCATTCTGAATGATGTTTTGACTGTCTTAAGCAACTTTAAACATTCTGAAATGTGTTTTTTACTTTCTAAAATGTAGTCTCTATATTCTAAAATGCGACAAAGTTTCCTTAATGGGGTTTAAAATTTGAATTTAACATTCTTAAAAATATCATTAACGTTTTGAAATTTTTGAGTAAGTTTAACATTCTTAAATATGATTTTGAGATTGTATATTTTTTCACATTCTGAAATACTCTTTAATCTTGAATAAGTCGTAGTATTCTGAATGGATAAATAATTCTTCGTTAGTTTAACATTCTTAAATATTATTTTGAAATTCTAATTTTTTTAACATTCTAAAATACTTTTTAATCTTCCTAAATAGCATTCTGAATGTTGTTTTGACTTTCTTAAGCATATTTTAACATTCTGAAATGTGGTTTTTACATTCTAAAATGTGGTTTTTATATTCTAAAATCCGACAAACTTTTCTTAATGTGGTTTTAAATTTAAATTAAACATTCCTAAAAATATTATTAACGTTTTAAAATTTAAGTGTTTAACTATTCTTGGTTTAACATTCTTAAATATGATTTTGAGATTTTACATTTTTTTCACATTCTGAAATACTCTTTAATCTTCTTGAATAAGTCGTAGCATTCTGAATGTTTTGACTTTCTTGAGCACGTTTTAACATTCTAAAATGTGGTTTTTCCATTCTAAAATGTAGTTTTTATATTCTAAAAGGCGACAAAGTTTCTTTAATGGGGTTGGGTTGAATTTTTTTAACATTCTTAAAAAAATTATTAACGTTTTGAAATTTCAGTGTTTAACTAGTCTTGGTAAGTTTAAGATTCTTAAATATGATTTTGAGATTTTACATTTTTTGGACATTCTGAAATACTCTTTAATCTTCTTGAATAAGTCGTAGCATTCTGAATGATGTTTTGACTTACTTAAGCACGTTTTAACATTCTAAAATGTGGTTTTTACATTCTAAAATGTAGTTTTTATATTCTAAAAGGCGACAAAGTTTCCTTAATGTGGTTTTAAATTTAAATTTAACATTTTAAAAATATCATTAACGTTTTGAAATTTTTAAGTCGTTGCATTCTGAATGAAGTTTTGACTTTCTTAAGCACGTTTTAACATTCTTAAATGTGGTTTTTACATTCCAAAATGAAGTTTTTATATTCTAAAATGCGCCAAACTTTCCTTAATGGGGTTTTAAATTTGAATTTAACATTCCTAAAAATATTATTAACGTTTTGAAATTTAAGTGTTTAACTCTTCTTGGTAAGTTTAACATTCTTAAATATGATTTTGAGATTGTACATTTTTTCACATTCTTTAATCTTCTTGAATAAGTCGTAGTATTCTGAATGGATAATTCTTGTTCTTCTTAAATAAGTCGTAGCATTCTGAATGATGTTTTGACTTTCTTAAGCATGTTTTAACATTCTAAAATGTGGTTTTTACATTCTAAAATGTGTTTTTACTTACCGGTATAAATTCGGGCAGGTTATCGGGCAAATTCAGCTGCGCGATCTCAGCTTTCAACCGCTTCCTGTGATTGGGCTTGGTGATTCCTATGGCCGTCAAATCTTCGGGCGTCATTCTGCCGATGGTGGGCAAATCGTAACCAGCGGACACGAACAAACCAAAGTACTCCTCGTACTGCAAATCCACCAGCCAAGAGTGCAGGATGTCCTTCTCTGGCACGCCCTGGTTGATCATGCGCTCGATGCGGCCCTGCTCCGATCCTATGGAGCACGAGCTCAGAGAGCATCTGGGGCTGTTGGACGAGCAGATGGTGCTGCGCCCCGTCGTGCTGTGCGGGTGGTACGAAGCCCGGCCGCTGTCCAAAGAGGCGGTGCTGTGGCGGGACCCGGAGCCGGCACTGCCGCTGGAAGAGCCCGGACTATCGCGACCGGGAGACTAAAAAGTTTTAAGGTTGTAATTAAAACAGTAACATTACTGCCAGAGCCGGAAAAGTTACTTCTGAAAAGTACCTAGTTATTTTTCAAAGATACTTCAAGCAAAATAACTAGATACTTTGAGTTGAAAGTATCTTTAGTTAGAGAGTACCTAAGATACTATATAAAAGTTTCTAAGATACTTTTGAGTATCTAAGTTACTTCTAAGTATCTTTTTTTTAAAGATACTCTCAGCTCTGATTACTGCCATGGTACATTGTACATTGTACTTATTTAGTGACAAAAACTTATATCGCATCTTCAAATGAGTGGCAATTACGTTAAAATAACTAATTCTACCACGAGACAGTTGAAATATCTTCGTATTATAATAATTTCAGAATTCAGTGTCAGTTTAATGTCCAGTTTTAGAGAAAGCAAGGATAATGAGATAAATAATATGCTGGAAAGAGACGAGGATATAAAGTAAAGAGTAGCAACGTGGTATAAACGTTTAAGAACGTTTTTGGAACGTATTTGATACTAAATAAGTGTTCCCCATTTTAGTCACTTCCACGTAATAGAACCGTTTCCACCACGTGGCGTAGATTTTGGCAACACACTTTACATTTCCAAGTATAAGTGGCCGATGCGTTTCATTCACTACTTTGGACTCATCGAAAGTATAAGCTTGGGGTGTCTACACCTAGATACTAGGGTGTTTCAAAAAAACCTTTTTTTTGTTTTTTTCTTGGAACCACGCTCAAAAGTTTCGTATAGATATAAAAATGAGCCTGTGAAAAAATGAGCTCTTAATTTCAAAATTAAGATGTTCCGCATCGCACATTTCGATTTTCCGTAAGAATAACATAGGAAAAATTATTTTTGTTTCTTTTTATTTTTGTAACTAAAGAACAATAGGTCCTACTTTAAAGTTCTTGACATATTTTTGTAGAGAATTGAACGCTCTACAAAAAAGGTTTCCTATGATTTTTTGATAAATTTGATCCTTCTAAAGAAATTTAAGGTCAAAGTTCAAATTATACAAAATTTTTGGGTTTTTTTAACTTATTTGGCGAGTCTGCCCGACTCATTTAAAAAAATTTGAAATATTTTTGTAGAGAATTGAACGCTGTTTTTCCGAACTTCCAGAGCTCAAAAACAATATTTCGATTCGTTTTTAGCACTTTGAACTAAAAAATCCAGAAATAATCCGAGAAAACGACTAAATTGACGGTTAATTTCACTTTAACCTTGAATAACTTTTAACCAAGTTTACTTAAGGAAAAATGACTCTAGACCTTTTCTGTAGAGCGTTCAATTCTCTACAAAAATATTTCAAATTTTTTTAAATGAGTCGGGTAGTTAAAAAACACAAAAATGTCGTATAATTTGAACTTTGACCTTAAATTTGTTTAGAAGGATCAAATTTATCAAAAAATCATAAAAAACCTTTTTTGTAGAGCGTTCAATTCTCTACAAAAATATGTCAAGAATTTTATAGTACGACTTATTGTTCATTAGTTACAAAAATAAAAAGAAACAAAATAATTTTTCCTATGTTATTCTTATGGAAAATGGAAGTGCGATGCGGAGCATCTTAATTTTGAAATTAAGAGCTCATTTTTATATCTATTCGAAACTTTTGAGCGTGGTTACGAGAAAAAAAACAAAAAAAAGGTTTTTTTAAAACACCCTACTAGATACATAGATATTTTGATATACTTACTTGTGTCATGTCGATGCCCTGGTCCTCTTGCAGGCTAAGCTGGTGGTGGTAGTAGACGGCCGCCTTGTGGGTGAGGACGGTTCCGGGCTGCTGCGGAAATGTGAACGTCGGCGCCGGAAATATCGGGCCCGGAGATTTTCCGGTGCTGCCGCTGACCGTGCTCCCGTAATCCGAGTGGTCATCTGAAAAGGAAATTAACTGTCTTAGATTTGAAGGGGCAGCAGTTATGACTTAACTAAAATGCAACAGATTGCATGTGTGTCTGTTTGAAGGTTGTACGCAATGTTGGACCATTGCCGATGTATTTTTTAATCATGACGTTTCGACTGGTAAGTATCTTCAGCGAATGAAGCGTCTTGATTAAAAAAAATATTTCTTTCATTCAGATAGCATATGGTTCTATTCTGGGACCACTATGGTTTGGAAGATTAATGCATAATTTAATTTTAAGATTTTATTATTCTTTTACTAAATCCTATTTTAATTTTCTGGATTTTTTTAAATTAATTATATATGTATTCATATTTAATTTTTATAATTTTTATTTTATTGTAATGTACCTACATACATTCCACGCCAAATCGGGTGGTTTAAAAAAAAATTTTTTTGATTCCTCCAATTTTTTTATATTTTTCAGTACTCCTTGAAAGAGCTTTCTCAGTAAATGTTGAGATTTTTTTGATCACGGGTTCAAAAGATATCAAATTTTCAAAAAAACTGCTTTTTTTGTTTTTCGCTCATAACTTCTTAAAAAATGGTCCAAATGTTCATTCTATATAAAATTTTCGTTTTTAAATGTACTTTTCGAATAAAAATATATTGAAAAGCGTTTTAAATCAAGATTTTTGAGTTTTAAATCGTGTTTTTTAAAATGTGTGTCTTATTCGATTTTTGCGAAAGTTTTTTATTTTCAACTTCTATCTATTCAACAACTATTCAGCCTGGTCCGGTAGTGGGCCTTCCATAATAACTATTTTTTTTTACTTATAATAATTTTTGGTGAATTTTTTTTAAATTTTGAAAGGTATAATGTACAAATAGAATATGGTTAATATTTGGAACAAGGTTTCCTCAAGGTTCTATTCTGGGACCACCAGATCCAGGAGTTCTAATTTTAATATGTTCCTTTTTTACAATTAATAATTTTTATGATTTTGAATATTTAATTTTAATAATCATTATTGTTTTGCATTTAAGTATTATGTACATATATGTATATGTACATATAGCTTATGGTTATTTGGAAGAATTGTTCCTCAAGGTTCTATTTAGAGACCATCTCTATCCAGGAATTTAAATTTTATTGGTTTTATATTATGTAAGGCAATTTTATACTCGTATATAACTAAAATTTTAAGATTTTTAAAATTTTTTCCAATTTTTTATAATTAATTGATTTTATTGATTTATATTATCTTCACAAATAATATAAATAATATAATTTAAAAATTTTTCCAATATTTGATGATTTTTCATTATTTTCATTATGTACATATTTCTTTTACAGTTTTTAAAATTAATAATTATTATGATTTTGCATATTTAATTTTCATAATTTTGGTTAATATTTGAAACCAGGGTTCCTCAAGGTTCTATTCTGGGACCATATCCAGGAGTTTTTAAGATATATATATATACAAATATACAAAATTTTAAAATTTTATTTATTTATATTGTTTTCACAAATTTTATTTCAATTTTAAGATTTGTAACATTGTAATATTGGAATATTGGAAAAAATTGGAACAAATCATTTGTTCCAATTTTTTTCAATATTTGATGATTTTTTATTATTTTGGTTGTTCGGAACATTCTGGGACCAAAATATCCAGGAATTTAGATAAATACAAAATTTTAATTTTTATTAGTTTATATTACTTTTACAAATTATATTTTAATTTTATTTAAGGTTTATTTCAATTTTTTACAATATTTGATAATTTCTCATTATATTTTATCAATTCTTATTTTAATATATGTATAAATACAAAATTTACATTTTTTTTTATTTATATTTTTAAGATTATTATTTTAATTTTAAGATTTAATTTTTTCCTAAATTTGATGATCAAATTTTAAATTTTATTGATTTATATTATATTTATAATTATTATTTGAATTTTAAGATATTTTCAAATTTTTTCCAATATTTGATGATTTTTAATTATTTTTAACCGAATCCTATTTGAATTTATCTTTTCCAGTTTTTACAATTAATATTTATTATGAATTGCATATTTAATTTTCATAATTTTTATTATTTGGCATTTAAGTATAATGTACAGATAGCATATGGTTATTTGAAACAAGGGTTCCTCAAGGTTCTATTCTGAGACGACCATATTCAGAACTGTTCAAGAATACTAGTAATTTTTTATTATTTTGTTACAATAATTTTTGCATTCAGGTATATGGTTAAAATTTTGAACAAGGATTCATTCAGGTTATATTCTGGGACCACCATGTCCAGGGGTTTGGAGGATAAAATTGATTTTACATTTTTTTGTTTCCAGTTAATTTTTTGATCAATTTAGACGTTTTCAAATAGTTTTAGTTGATCTTAGAATTTGATTAATTTCACATTAAACTATCAAACAAAAAGAGTTCCTCAGGGTTCAATAATGGGACCACCACTATCCAATACCGACACAAACGATCTTAAAAACGCCCGACAACTTCTAAACCTATATCCCGTTCAATACATCGAGATAAATCAAATGTATTAATATAAGTGGCATTCCATCGGTAAGTATAATGGACAGTTATTTATTTTGTGTCAGCGTCGAGATGATGCGACGTCTCTCTGGCTTTAGCACGGATGAAAAAACTGCGCATTCTTCGTGCCGATTTCAGTCGGAATACGGTTCCCGGTAAGGCAAAAGCACTATCAGAGTGGACCTTGGATTTGCCTTAACCGGGTACATAGCATTGCTGGGAATATAACGACCGCAAACGCCATTTTTACAAAATGGTTGCTAGTCGCAGATACACGCCGCCTTTTTCAAATTATATCTGTACCTCATTAATATCCTCATTCTTGACATGTTTCCATGGCCAATACGATTTGTAAACTCCATGTTTCCTTCGCTAATTTTTCCACCGCACGATTATGCAATCTCGTAATTGTTATTGCGACTTTTCAACACCTTTTCGAGCCAACCGGGCAAATAAAATAAAAATAAAATTCCTTGAAGGTATTACGGAGTAAAGTTACTGTTGCAGTGTCGTGTTTCTGGAAAGTTGTTTTTTAGGAAATGAGCCTGTAATTTTCGTTAATTAATCACTTTTAACCGGCGTTATTATAGTAATTTTGCCGAGGTGTTATTAGGCGAAATCATGATACAAAGATTACGTCCATCCTAACTGTATAACGTGAAGCGGTTATCGAGATTATCAAAAACACCGACATTAAAATCATGAAGATTGTGTTACAAATGGCTATTGTATGTGTTAGTTGAAATTATTTTAATACAGGATATTTTGGATTTAATTATGGTAAGTATATTTATACACACACATTCATGCTTTAACCGGAAGTATCATCAACTTTGTTATTTCAAATAGAACACCCCATATATTTTTATTTTATATAAAATTCTAAATAAAATTCTGAGAAAAATTACTATACCATGTCCTATACCTAAAGTAAATGGTTTTCGAGTTATTAATTTTATTCGTTAACATTTGAGGAATGTGCGTCAATCAAAAATAGCCTATAACTTTTTTGTTAAAATATTTGATATCAAAAAATTTCTTTATTGCCAGAAAAGTCTCGTAAGTACTAGAAAAATCATAAAAATATTATAACCAATATGCAAAATATTATTTTACTAGTATGCTGTTTAAAGTAGCCAACCTATAAAATTTTGGGTGGGGTAAAGAGCGGTGTTACAATGAAGTCATTATGAACGCAAAATAGATAAACAATATTACCAACTGATAAAAAACTTAATTAACCTTTTATGTTTGCCCTGGGTTTTCTAAGGTAATTTGTTAAAAAATGTTAAATAATTGATATGGAATCTTTTAAACAATGTTTTAAACCCAATAACAAAAAAGTTATAGGCTATTTATATTTGACGGACATATGTCAAATTTTAATGAAAAAAAAAATTAACTCAAAAATATATATGGGATGTTCTTTAAACCGGAAGTAGCATTTTGTTCAAAATATTTTCGAAAAATAGACATAACGTCGCCTTCAGGAGAAAATCACGTAACTCCGCATTTTCATTAAAATGGTATTTTAGTGGCATCTGTTAGATCAAACTGTAACTAATTTATATGCAAGTTACAGAAGTCCTAAAATAAACCGTTAATTTTAAATTTAGAAAAAGAAATATACTTATCTCCAATCGTAGAGGAGCGTCCAAGGAATAATGCCTAACTCCAGTATACAAATCAGTGCCATTGACAAGTATAAGTTATTGCCTAGTTATTTTTTCTGTTTACGCGTAAAACCTTTGTTTTCCGAAGTGAAATTTGTTAAAAGTAAGAATGAAAGATTGTATAGTGTGTAAAGTTAAGGTACCATGAATAATTTAAGGTTACTTTTATTAACATAAAGTACATATTGGAGATACGTAATTTTCCATTAAACAATTTTTTGGCGGTAATGTGGAGATACACCAATACACCTTTAATATGTTTTTCTTTCCTCCTGTAAAATTTTACTACATGGAGTTAAGCAATTTTCTCATGAAGGCGACGATAAATGGATTATAAAAGTATATTATTATACGAGACATAAGGCAGGCTATTATTCACAAGGTTGAGATTTGGATCTCGAGCCGTCAGGAGAGAGACGTAAATCATCCGAGTAAATAATGCGCATTATTTCGAGTGTAATAATATGCTTTTTTTACTCCAATTAAGTAATTTTCATTAATAACAAAATTTATTATAACCTCACTTTTTACCGATTTTAAATATCATTATAGTCGCCCCTCCTATATTTAAACAAATCTGACATCTGTTAACCTTACTTTTATTATAATTCAGAATATTTTATGTTAGAACAAATATAAAACGTAAAAAATACAAAATTCCTTCAACAAAAGGGTCAAAAAGATCATCAAAAATGTGATAAATAAAACATCTAAACTATTGTAGTGACCTTTTAATTTCGCCGGCAGTAAACTAGAATTAACTTAATTTCGGGAGGAGACTCCACCGCGAAATC